GCCGTTAAATTCTGTGCAGGGTTGCAGAGATTTTTAGTATGCGCTGTGTGGATTGTGGTTAGACGTTGATTGAAACGCTTTACATTTCGGTATCATCCTCAGGGTTTTGTTAAACGCAAAGTTATCCTTCTTAACTTGTGAAACATATTTTAGATTTAATTATTTGGAAGTCAACGAGTCTTACCAATATATGTTAAATTGTGTATTTCAACAATAAAAAGTGTTCTTAAATAAAAGTCTTTAAAAACCTACGACCCACTCATCCGCAAGTTCTTTTTAGAAAAGGAACACTTTAATACTAGTTCGTTAGTGTGTCGAAAATATAAATATTTAAAAAAAATCTAAAAAGACAATTTGATTTTATAGTATAGAGTATACATTTACATAATACTTTCCATATTTTTTAATTTTATTAATATAGGATATTAATAAGTAAGTAAGCTATTATGTAGTTGGTAAGTAGGCAATAAAATCACAATATTATAAACTATTATGACGTAATAGTTATTTATGTATTAAGGGCATAATAAGGTTTTTATGGTCCGAGGCGCTATTTCGAGCCCGAGCGCGTTAGCGCGAGGGCTAGAAAAGCGTCGTAGGACCATAAAAACCAGTTATGCCAGCAATGCATACAAAACTGTATGCACGATTAATATATTATTATTTTTAATATATTATTGTTTTTAAAGACGTTTACGTCAAAGAATTTTTGTTATAATTGTCATATTATAATGTCAACTGACATCAGTCAGTTTTAAAGTTTAAAGATGAATGAAATTGAGGAAGCAGCTGAAAAGGCGAAAAATTGCGGCCTGCTGCCGGAAAACTCAAAATCTTTATACGAAAAAACTTACTTCGAATATATCACATGATGTAACATTGTTTTTTTTTTAATTTTTGACGTTTCATTATAGCCCGCTGGGTCATAATAACGCCCGCGGGCTATAAAAAGACGATTACGTCAAAGAATTTTTGTTATAATTGTCATATTATAATGTCATCGTGCATAAAAGTTATTAAAAACACTTAAAACATATATTTTAGGATTTACAGATGAAAAAGAAGAATTTTATCATAAACTAAAAATCTATTATAAAATAAAACCAGGAAAAAGAGTATATACCAGAGAAGAACAACAAAAAATGATTGAGGAAATTAATTTTGCAAAAACAAAAACGTAAAATTATTTATTTTTTATATCAATAAAAATACTCACAAAAACTTACTTTTTAGAAAAACCAAGACAAGGAGAGAATACTTCTTACTCAAAACATACGATGTTATATCAGTGAATAACGTAGAATATTTAATAAAAAAGAAAAAAGGAAATGTCACTGATACAATTTACATTGTGGCGCATGAAGATCTTTACGATTATATCTGTGATTTTCATATTTCCACTGGGCATGGAGGACAACATAGATTAATAAAGGCTTTAGCTTACAAATACAGCATTCCTCGACCGGCTATTCAATATTTTTTAACAACTTGTAGCTTTTGTAATAGTAAAAAAAATATTTATGATAAATTTTAACAACCACCAATTTTTATTTATAATATATTTTTATTATTTTTTTGTTTATAAATGTTTTGATTATATTTTGATTTTTTTAAAGGCAGTTGTCTAAATTTTTAATATACTATTCAACATATTAAAATTTAACTAATTTCAAAATTATATATACATAGGTACCTGACCTGTAATGTTTAGGTATAGTAATTTCACTTCACTTTTAATTTTATTTATTGACTGATTTGGCTAAAAAAGTAGGCCAATTTAAAATGATAAATTATACAAAAAATGGAATTATTATATAATTCAAGCTAACAAACTAGGTGGTACAAATACTTAAAATAAATATTTGATATTAACAACGACTTTTTGTTTAGTCTTAAGGATGCACATTTGGAATTACAAGAGAATATGATTCATTCGACATATTTATGTGACAATACAATTCATTATAATTAGAACCAATAAAATGCCAGTATTCCATAGTTACGAATTTTATCACAGCGGCAATATTTTTTATCACCTTGTTTACACGTTGCTAAGGATTTTGACAATTTTCTTGATTTGACATTTGTTGACATTTAAATACTGTGTTTGTTAAATGATTAAAATAATGAATTATAAACTCTAAAAGATCGATGGGTTGGTGTAAACGATAATAAAATTAAGGTAAGTTTGAAGAAATAAGGTTTATTAAAGTCTTTTTATATTTTAAAGCACATTTTAATTTCAAATGTCAAACTAACAATTCGTTAAATCCATAAATTCATTATATTTTCTCACTAAATATAACTCGTGGTATGATTAATTATCAATGATATTTACTCATTGAAACCGAAGCAGAACATTTCACTCGTCCTGGGGACTCGTGAAATCTGCAGCTCGGTTTCAATTCGAAAATATCATCGATGATAATCATTCCACTTGTTATATTATGGGTGAAAATAGTTATTTATGTCATTAGGAAAAAAAGTGTCTGTATATATTATATTTAATTTATTTATTTTAATATATATATTTAAGATAAAATACATTATTATTGTTGGTGTGCAAATATTCTAATTTATAAATTATTTGTGAAAAATCAAATCAAATCATTAAATCCTGAATTCAAATCAAATAATTCAACCTGAATAATTTGAATGTTTTAAATAGTTAGAAGTAGCTATTCGAATAGTTCAAAATATTCGAAGAGACATTAATTAAGAATATACCTACTCTCTTAAAATGAAATAGTCAAAATTCTACTATTTAAATTAGTACCAGCATTTTTTACTAATAAAATAGTCGTTTCCACTTTTAAATAGTTATTTTTTACTACCTAATTAGTTTAAGTTTGACTAATTTAAGATCAGTCACCATCTTTGACTATTTCTAAGAGTTAAAAGTAACAAATTTCTTTAATCGTTTGCGGCCATAACAAAGTATTATTTGAATTTAATGCATATAGGCTTCATGGTTAAATGGCCAATAAAAACAAACAAAGATGCAAAACTTTTTTAAAATTAAATCTACTAATTTGACTATTTCATTCAGTAGAATTTGACTAATTATAATTATTAATAATTATTAGTGACTGCTTTTTGACGATTAGTCAAATATGACTTATAATTAGTTATTTTTGACTAATTCATTTTAAGAGAGTAAGTTATATCATATGAGTACATAAGATGCACAACTCTGTATTTTAAGAAAAACACGAAACCTATTGTAAAAAATTTTGGTTTTTATATATTTTTTTCAAAAACTACATTTCAAAACGAAGAAAATAGCCATCGGTCAAATGAGGTTACGATAATTTAAGCAGGAGTTGAATTTGAATGAATTTCTGAAAATTACCGTATCGTTATTTTTTTTTTGCGATTTTCAAAAATTCATATCTTCGGGGCTTTTGAAAATTAAGGGCTCAAAATTTAGGGTTAGGCGTCTTTTGATACGTACAAAAACATATCAAAAATTTATTTGAATCAAAAAATACAATTTTTAAAATTTGGTGATTTGAGATGGAATGACCCATATATACTTTATCTACTTCAATAAGTAGATCTGTCAAATAGTTAACCTAACTTTTTACCAATTTTGAATGTTATTATAGTCGACTTCTCCCAATATAAAACCTACTTCAAATCGGCCGATCAGTTTTGCCTAAACCTGAATAATGAGTTTATTATTCATGTTGTTAGGCAAGGAATTTATACTGTTTATCATTACCCACGAAAATAACCCAATATTATGCAATAGGAGTAGATAAAATAGATTATTATTAATTAAACACAGTATAGGTACCTTAAAAGAGTTTTTTTTGTACAAAGTAAAATTTTCTTATTCGTAGTAACTTCCTGTTTATTATAACACAATACTATTTTGGTTGTTAATAACACTTTTCTTAAAAACACAACAATTATTGTGATTTATTTTAAATAAATATTTATTTAATTAAATTGTTAAGATCTAAAATATTTGGTTTTAGTTTTTATTGATGTTTAATACAAACATATAATATATTATGAGTATGAGTATAAGAGACGTATAACCGGCCCCATTGCCTCATCGCTCCCGGGCCCCGCATAGGCCTCTGTTTACTTGCGCCGATTTTCTTTCGCCACCAGCAACGGCACGGCTTCACCCGTGTTTGCTGGTTTGTCCATTACTGTCCCCTAATTAGGGCTCTAGAGCGAAATGCCAATAGTTTTAGTAGCCATTCCCGGGTTCGCCGAGCCGATGCTATATGTCCAGTAGGGTAATAAAGGAGGTAGGACGGGAGGGATAGACAGTTTGCTGTTTGGGGGACAATTACGCCGACTTAAACATAAGTACGACGCGGTACCCCCCTAGACCAGGCAGTTAGTATTACTCCAAACATTTGGGATTACTGTATGGAGTTCGGGAGTTGTTATTTTGCTGTAGGAGCCTACGTCTTGGTCTGCGTTTTTGCCGTTATTGTTCGTGTCCAAGTAGGATTGTTCCCGCACATGTGACTTCAGTCTTGAGGCCAAAAACCATCAATATATAGTATAGTATAGCTGGATATGTAACTTGTAGCTTTTGATGTTTTTTTTTAATTGTTTATTGCCGCAGTAGTGCGAAATTTCTAACAATTTTTTTAGTTATTGTTTGCATCTTTTGTTTGTCTAGTGAAAAGAGTCCAATGACAGGTGGTATACCTATAGGACCAGAAGCTGAAACTTGTCACTTAACTCTTTCTTATCACTTAACACTTTACTCTTTATTGACCGTTACAATATTTTAGTTTGCACTTTATGAAAATTGTTTGTTTCACTATAATTGGTTTGCACTTTTAAAAAATTAGCAAAATAATTGAATGGATAAAATATCAACCAAATATTTGCTTGTATTAACCAAAGTTTAATAAGGTTCAGTAAATATAAATTGTCCACCAAGTAAACATTTTCTTGAATATATCGAAATAAAGGATTTATTTTAGCCAAGCGGAATACATTTCCCTGTTTGAAATAAAGTTTATTTTAGGATTTACAGATGCCAGAGAGGAGTTTTATCATAAACTTAAAATCCATTATAAAATAAAACCTGGAAAAAGAGTATATACCAGAGAAGAACAACAAGAAATGATTGAGCAAATTAATTTTGCAAAAACAAAACGGTAAAATTATTTATTTTGTATTTTAATGTACGTACAAAAACGTATTTTTAGAGAAAGCAAGACAAGAAGAGAGTATTTCTTACTCAAAACGTACGATGTTGTATCAGTGGATAACGTAGACTATTTAATAAAAAAGAAAAAAGTAAATATCGATGATGTGATTTACATTGTGGCGCATGAAGATCTTTACGACTTTATCTATGATATTCATATTTCCACTGGGCATGGAGGACGCGATAAACTAATAAATGCTTTAGCCCATAAATACAGCATTCCCCGACCAGCTATTCAATATTTTTTAACAACTTGTAGCTTTTGTAACAATAAAAAAAATGGTTAATGGCAGATTTTAACAATGGCCCAACTACATATTTTAAGTGTTCGTTTTTCGAACCAAACCACAAGTTTTTATTTATAATTTGTTTTAAATACATTGTTAATTTTGTCAATTTATAAATATTTTTTATTTATTTGAATGTTTTTTTATAAAATCCCAAACAGTATAATTTTTTTAAATTATTTAAATAGTGAAACATTATTATTTTAAATTTTTAGGTAGTTTTCTTGTAAACCGCCTTCGATTATAATTGGCAAAATTTTTAAAATATAAAACTAACTGATTTAAACCGTACAATTATTAAAAGTAGAAAGTAATCTTAATTATATTTGAACAAAGTCGAATTTTTTAATTGCTTCAAACTAGTAAATAATAAGTTGGTACGGCCTAGGCCATGCATACTGCCTTGCTAAGTAAAACCCCCTTATCTACAATATCAAGGATAAAAGACCATTTTTTTGTTTCATCTTTAAAAAAAATTTATCCTCTATTACTTAATATTGTAAATTCGGGGGTTTAGCTTAGCAGGGCAGCATAAATAACCTAAAGCTTCATTCAGAACCTCGAAATTAGTGGAAAAAATTAGTGGTTTCAATTATACTTATAATTAACACATATAATTAAGCCTAGTGGAAAAAATTAGTGGTTTCAATTATTGAGTAGCATCCGTGCAAAACCGGCTAAATCCATTTTATTCAGTTTTTGTTTTTTTTTATTTCGCATCTTTGGGTTCATTTCTATCGACAACCAAGATAATTCTGTTTAAATCCGACTATATCCATGTTAAAATCACATTTAAAAGGTAGCTTTAGGAGCAAAACCGGCCAAATCCACGTTTTTATAGCAAACCCGGCTATATCAAATAAATAATAGTATGTGGCTTGGGTATGTCGATACTACTACTAAAATTTGTTCTGTTTTTTCATGTTTGCACTAAATTTATATTTTTAATATTTTTGAATAATAAAGGTTTTTTTCACATTTTATTCGTTTTTTATTCGGTTTTCGAGCAAAACCGGCTATATACAAAACATTTTTTGATTTTGGCCTTAATATAAAGTTTTTGAAAACGAAAGTATGTCTTATAAATCAAGTACCACAAAGACCACAAAAGTCAAGTTTGCTTTTTCTTTTATCTATAAAGGCTAGGAAACCGAGAGTTTTTTCCATTTTCACAACATTTTATTAATGTGGATATAGCCAGTTTTGCACGGATGCTCCTCAATTATACTTACACAAAACGATCATTCACAATGCGCAAAATTAACATATAAAATTAAGGGAATTTGCTAAAGGATTGTCAATTTTTCTTAACCTGACATAAACAATATTAATTATATAAAAATAATATTTTTTACAACGATTACAATAATATTCATAAAACCTTACCTTCACTGGCAAATCTTCAAACTTTTTGCTTTTGACATAAAATATCCACGCACATGCGCAAAGCCGCTTTCCAATTATAATTAGTGGTAAAAGTTAGAAGTTTGCAAACTTTGTCCACTAATTGATTAATTCATAAGACAAACTTTTACGTTAATTGAAACCACTAATTACGAGGTTCTGAATGAGGCTTTATTCTAATATAATAGACTATAGTCTATATCATTTTTAAGCCATGAAATATATGAATATTTGTTATTTAATTTTAATATTAAGATTGATTTTTTTCTGGTATGAGTCTTTATCAAAATAAAACTTTTTTCTTGAAAATTTAATAACTACCGCCGACGGTTTTTTCTGTTTTATCATCCATATATATTTTATTTTACCTCATCAAAACTAATTTTATAAGTTTCACTATGCTGTTGGTATGGTAAAATTAATAAAAAAAATTAATGAACTATAGTTTTGTTAAATAAAATTAAGTCAACAATTTTTTTTTTAATTTTTTTTTGGAATTTAACTTATCATCTAAATTAAGCAAGATATAGAAAAACATGAAATATACAAAAAGTTATACCAAGGAACATTTTATTATTAAGTTTTACAAGCGGTAAAAATGTTATGTCCTGGTATAATATTAAGAAGAAAACCGTTTTAATTAATTCTTTTATACGCATAGTTTATAATTTAAGAGATATTAAAGAAAAACCAATAATATATTTTAAAGAGGAAGAAAAATTGGTTTATTTGATAAACTTATGTTTGGATAAACTATAGGCTGATAAAATTCTAATGATATAAACATTATAAGATATCAACAGTATTGCTATTTCATTCTTACGACTCTTGAAGGGTATTTAAAGCACCAAAACTATTTGTTATTTAGCTGGGAAATATAATGTTTAAAACATAAGTGCTTAGGCAAAAATACCTGTGTAATACACAGTGTGTATTAATAAATAAATAATAGTAATATAACTTGTTGACAAAAAAATAAAACCGTTATTAATTTTCTTTTTTTTAGGGCAACAATGCCTAAACTGTGGGCGATTTTATAAGAATAGTGAATGTTTAAGAGTTCACAAAGCTCAGGATTGCATGAAAAACCCTATCTACTGTCCATACACATATTGTAAAAAAACCTTTGCAAGAAAGTATAACTTACAAAAACACATACAAAGATGTCATTTATCCAAGTAAAACTATTTTATTAAAAGCAAATAAAAAACTATAATCATAAAAGTTTTAATTTTATTTTAAATTGTTTAGTTGACTATTATTTTGTTTAAACTACTAACAACCTTAGTGGATGTAATAAAATGTGAAATTTTACCCTTTTTCCTAGGACTTATATGGGTGGGAAGAAAATTCCAGCACATCGAAGAAGTGGAGGATGCCATCGAACATTTTAGCAGGGAAAACTATATCAAATTGTGGAAAAGGGATTGCAGGAAAATATCTTCCAGCAGGGTGCTTAAACAAATTAAACCTGAGCTTATGTATTATGAAGTTCGATACGCTTGCATCCATGGAGGAAGAAGTTATAAAAAGAAGGTTTTCCAAAACGTTCTGGATGGAAGGTACTTGAATCATAGTTTGATTTATGGTTTGGTATTTTATTTTTATTTTCAGTGAACCATGCAGATTCTACATACAATTTCGTGTGGATTCCACAGGAGATAACTTGGAGATAAAAGGTATGAACTTGTCGCACAACCATGTTATTATAGCTGGAGACTAAATCAGTATTCAAATTTGTTACCATAAAAAACGTACTTTGGCCAGTATACAATTGTTCCTTAAAGATAAGGTAATGTTCTGTAATATATTCTATGTAAAACTCTTTACGTGTTACATGTTTTTGAATATAAAGTTTATTATATATAATAGTTGTAGTGGTCAAGAGTTTGATCTTTATAGTATTTTGTATATTAATATATTTTCTTATTATTTACATTGAATATTTTTAATAAAAAAAGTATTAGTTTTTTAGTGTTTTATTTAGTACTTATTTGGTCATAAACTGTTTTTAAAAGGCTTGTGTAAGGTTTTTTTGTTGCAAGACTAAATGTTGGCAGTAGGTATGCTAAAATTTGCATGTTTTATTAATTATTCTTAATTTTTTAGTCGCTACCTGTCCAAAATGTGGAAAAAAGTATAAAAATATGAACTCAATGTATGTTCATGTATCCCAAGATTGCGGCAAAGAAAAAATGTTTAAATGTTTTAAATGTAATTCCACTTTTAAACGTAAATTTGATTTAAAGAAACACATATCACGAAACACCTGTAAAAGATAATGCCAATAAAGTTCCTTAATTAAATTTATATTATTTATGTTACTCGTAATTGTTTTTTTTAATGTTTAATTTTATTAAAATTATATTATTTTTAGATTTTCGTATGTGTCCCAATTGCGATAAACAATATAGAACTGAACACTCACTTAAACGTCATTTATATCAAGATTGCGGAAAGGAGAAAAAATATAAGTGTCCTCTATGTACGTCCAGTTTTAAGCGCAACTATGACTTAAAAAAACACATTAAATATAATCGTTGTAAAAAATATTAAAATGTTTAACTAATACTGCCAGTTTGTTTTCGTTAAAACCACTACAATTTTGTAGGCCAATAGTTGTTGGGAGTAAGAAAGAACATTAAAAAACTATACGTAAATACAGATATTCCACTTGGAATTGAGACAACAATAAAAATTATTATTCAGCCATTCCAAGTTTCTCCTTAATTTTGTAGCGTCCGTAATAATAAAAAATTGTTAGTAAAAACTACTGTAATTATTATGCTTATAAGCTTAAGCTTAATTTATTATTACAAGCATAATAAACATGTAATGTTTGCAATAGTATTGCGATAAGCTGGCCATACACAGACGTTATTTCGCGCGGTTTATCGTGGCGTGTTGGGATGTAGCGGTTAGTATGCACGAAAGAACGGCATGGCAAAAAAAAGCGTCATGTTCCATACACTTGATAAAGTATTCAAATGATTTAGCAAGTGATTGCTCGTAGTATATCAGTTTCAAAGGAAAAATCGTATGTGAGTGGGCAAAAAGTGTCACGTGACGCGGAAAGTGGCGTGGGGCGTGTGGACACTGCTGAAATGATGTACGCCACAATCCAGAGGAAAGCACGTCTAAAATAACTTCCCGTTCTATCATTGCGCGAGGCGATACTCACTCACGTACATGATTTTCCATATATTTTTGCAGATAACACGATAAACCGCGCGCAATAACGTCTGTGTATGGCCAGCTATTCGTATTTAATTTAATGACGGTTAGCACTTTAATGGTACATTCTCCTAGTCGTCCTAATTTATAAAAACACATATTATATATCTTTATCTCGATTCTTAAGAAACATACAGGGTGCTGAAGTTTACAAGAAAAATTATTTTTTTTGCTATAACTTTTATAAAAAGCTTGGATTTAAACTAAATTTTGCATGCCTGCCCTTCTCCCTAAGGACAATTTTATAAAGATATTTTTGATTTTCTGATTTCTGATTTAACAAAAATAAAAACAGAAAAACAGTTGACGTCGGGTTTCCAAAATATTCACAAGGTGTCCCTAAACTTAGTGGCATACATTTAGGAGCAGATTAAGCAAGTCAAAATAAGACGAAAATCTAAATAAATATGTTTCCTAATTACGTATGTTTAACAGATACAGGGTGATAAAGTGTTACTTATCATATCAGTTTTTTTAATATAACTTCTACTATGGTAGACTTGGAAAGGTGATATTTTGCGAACAGTCACTTACTACCAAAACACATATTCACACATAATTACAATTGTTTGAGTGAACACAGTGTCCCTTAAATGCAGTATATCCAATTTAGGTACCTAATAAAGTACCAAACATCATTTTTATTGTTATAAACTTTGTGATGAAAAAAGCCTTTAATTATAGTAAATTTAAAAGTTCTTTGACTTTCCATGCTTATACAAAGGTTTAATTTAAATTTAATTTTAAATTTATGTAAAATGCTCTTTGCTTATTTTTTATTTATATATTAATATGAAATTGTTTCATTTTTAGATTTACTTAAGTGCCCAAACTGCGATAAGAAATATATTAGTATTAAGGCATTACAAAGTCATTTATTTAAAGATTGTGGAAAAGAGAAAAAATATAAGTGCTCTATATGTACTACTAGTTTCAAACGCAAATACGATCTTAAAATACACACTCAATTTAAACGTTGTAAAAAGAGTAAAATGCCCAAATAGTATTTCTATGATGTAATTTGTATTTTTTATTATAAATATTTTGATCTGTGTATTTTACAAGCAATAAATATTGGTATTATTATAGTACTTATATTGTTTTTTTTATTTTACGCATTATATTTATTCAATTATACTCGTATTAATAATTTTCTAGGGCCAATCTAGTTTCCAAAATGCGGAGATATCTATAAAAATAAAAAATCTTTGGGCCCTCATATTTCTCAGGTTCTCAAGTTTCAACCTTTCTTTGTTTTTACATAAACTTTTAATCTTCGTTATTTATGGCTGGGTTTAAAAAATATTTTTATTTTTAAACGTTCTATAATTTAAGCTTTTTTATTGTCAACGCTCAGTACCAACGTATTGGATTATCCCGTAGGCTGTAAAAATAATTTAGACCAATCAGGTGAAGTTTTTTTACATCCTAGCATGTAAAAATCTCGTTAGGCCCAATCAAAAAATTCAAAAAGTGTTGACAGATCTGTACTATCTAACCTTACTATATAGTTTAAGTAATTTTTATTATAAATGTAAAAACCTACGTTTTAGGTATCGTTTAACAAATAAAACTGTGCCTTGTAGATAAAATGTTGTATGCCATTCGGCTGAAACGTGTCTTTTTGTCCTTCACTCAATTGTCAAAAATACTCACTTCTAAGCCTTATAACATAAATGACAATTTTTGTGTTAAACATTTTTATTAAAAATATTAACCAACAAAGAAAAACAAAAGAATGGTATGTATATTCGATATTTGAGGTTTGTTTTTAAATTATTCACCTTATTTTGTTTTATTGTCTTATTTTGGAAAATTAAGGTTTTTTGGAATTGTCAGTTTAATATCTTTAATTTTTATGTTAAACATTTTTAACAAAAACATCAAGCAACAAAAATAAAGAGATTTATATAAAAACAAAAGCAGGTCAATAATTGAAAAACGAAAGCTAAATAAAAAATATATATACATATATATATATATATATATATATATATATATATATATATATATATATATATATAATATATTTGAAAAAAGTGTATATACAGTGTGTCGCACTTAAGATGAAGACACCCCCATATTTTCGGTATTTGAAGGAATAAAGGTTTGAATTTTTTCACATTCATACATGTTGATGGGTCACATTTTTTAAGCTACTCAACTGAAATCTGAACTTTAAACTTGGCCTACTACAAATTCACAAACAGGGGGCCAGTTCTCGATATTTTGCTTCGCGTTAGAGATATCGAAAAAAGTTATTGGAAAAAGTTGTTCAGAATATTATTCTAACCCCATATACCAATTTTTATAACAAAATTCGCATTTTTAATTTTTTATTTTGGTCCACACAAAAGTTCATTTTTTTTAGTTTGATAATAAGGGAGCCATGGAAAATAAAAATTTGATACTAACTAGTGTTTATGACCGTTAAATAAATAATTAAAACAATTTTTGGAAATTATAAATCAATTATAATTTATTAAATTAAGGAAATGGTATAAAACAATAATAAAACTAATAAAAATAAATAAATTAGAAATGCGAATTTTGCTATGAAAATTGGTATACGGGGTTAGAATAATATTCTGAACAACTTTTTCTAATAATTTTTTTCGATATTTCTAACGCGAAGCAAAATATCGACAACTGGCTCCGTTTGTGAATTCGTAGTAGGCCAAGTTTAAAGTTCAGATTTCAGTTGAGTATCTTAAAAAATGTGACCCACCAACATGTATGAATGTGAAAAAATTCAAATCTCTATTCCTTGAAATAGCGAAAATATGGGGGTGTCTTCATCTTAAATGCGACACACTGTATATATATAATATATAAAATATATTTGAAAAAGTGTTAGTCTCGATGAGGTCCATTTTGAGTATACTCCGAATATTTAAAATTGTTTTGTCATTTATTTTTATACAAACGTTTAATTTTAATTTAATTTTATATTCAAGTAAAATGCTTTGGGTAATAAACTGTCTATTTATTTATTATTATTATAATTGTTTTATTTTTAGATTTACTAATGTGCCCAAACTGCAATAAGAAGTATATAAATATTAAGGCATTACATAGTCATTTATTTCAAGATTGTGGAAAAGAGAAAAAATACTATATGTACAACTAGTTTCAAACGTAAATACGACCTTAAAATACACACTCAATATAAACGTTGTAAAAAGAGTAAAATGCCCAAATAATGTATTTATGTTATATTTTTATGTTTATATTTTACAAGCAATAAATATTATTATTATTATAGTACTTATATTGGTTTTTATTTTAAGCATAATATTTATTCCAATATACTTTTAATACTTATTAATAATTATACATTTTCTAGGTCCAATCCAGTGTCCAAAATGCGGAGATCGTTACAAAAATAAAAAGTCTTTAAGCGCTCATATTTCCCAGGATTGTGGAAAATTGCGGAGATTTAACTGTGAATATTGCAATTATGTTTTTACAAGAAAACATAACTTACAC